AATGTTAAACACATCATTATGCTGCAGTTTTTTTTTACCATCAAGTCTCTTTAGCAGAAAATATAAATATACACCATTCAGAAGATTAAGAATATTTAAATCCTTCATTTCCTCAAGCATGTAGTGGTTTCAGCATCTCTCTAAAAGTGCCTTGCGGGTGATATTTTAATCATTGCTTACTTCTGGACTGTCTCTTTTCACATATGCTCAGACTGAGAAATCTGCAAGATATCAGAGTAAGAGTACACATGCACTGAGAAATAACGTCAATGAGCTAAAATCCAGCTCACTTTATCGGATTTCTTAATCAGACTTTTAGGCCTTTCTCCAATCTAAGAAATCAGAGTATGCTGTTTACATGACCATTAGAATCGGATAACTGCCAAAATCTGATTATTATCGAATTATTAAGTGCATGTAAACACACTCAGTGAACCCTTCAAAATAAAAATGAATGGAAGGTTTTTTTATCCATTCGGATGTGGTATAGAAATTTGACACATCATAATTTTTAAATACCGTCATCATTTTTGCATACTGTGGTATACCACATTACATCATCATACCACCCAAGCCTAGTTTATATAGGTTACATGTAATTGCCAAAACTATGCCAATGGCATAGCTAGGTATAACATCAGTACATTGTGAGGTTCACAGCCACTAAACTAGCCAGCTAGTCTACTTCACTCTAGATTCCACAGTCAAGATCAAACTGATAGCCTAGCATTTAATACACAGCACACCTCAGCAGGTAAAGACTAATAATCAGCACACCTCAGCAGGCAAAGACTAATAATCAGACTAATAATAATAATCATTAATTGTGTTAAATAAAGTAGTGCACTTTTCCTGTTTGCTCCCATTTAATGATATCTTTTAAATTTGTTTGAACTCATGTTTATTTAATATGACTTTAATAAGACAAGTAATCCAACACTAATACAAAAGTAATCAGATTATGTTGCTTTGAAATAATAATCTTTTGGATTAGGTTACATATTTTAACATGTAATCAATAATCTGTACAGAAATGCATTTTAAAGTAATCTTCCCAACCCTGGTGATGTTAATACGTAAAAGACTTATGTGAAGGAGGTTCAAAATCACCATTTCAGGCTTTACAGGGCAGCTCACATGCACCATATTTTAGCATGTTTTTTTATTTCTGATTTAGTCATGCTACTTCTTCTTTCAATTTTACCAAAAAAACCTTCCACCTTTAATGAGCACCTGGGTTGAACAAAATGGACTCTTGCATGTCACAGCGTGAGCTGATAAGATCAAGAGAACATCCTTTCATACAGATATCTAATATTAACTGGACCATGCAAGATGCCTGTTTTTATTTTTATAGCAAGGTGTGAGGTGTAGTGCGAGTTCTCCCCCCTTATGCTTCACACATTTTTCATGTTTGTTTTCACACTTTATATGCACCCGTCTAATTTTCATTTGATAGTGAGGGTTGAAGAAGGTGTTCTAGCATTTAGCATCAGACCCAGGATTTGTATGTGAATATGCTGTAAATATTATTATTGATTTATTTATTATTTATTATTATGTATGTATATACTGTAAGAATAACAATAATAGTTATTGTTGTTGTTGTTGTTATCATTGTTGTTGTTGTTGTACCAATAAATACATAGTGTTTAATAAACAATTTAGAGTTTCATTTAATCAAGTAAGCTTTCATTTACCATTATGATAGGAGTAGGCTACCCGAAGAACATGACTGAAGTTATGTGAGTGAAATGAAATGGAGGGGATTTCACGATCATTAGTCTAAATTAGAATGAGAGTTAGATACAGCTAAATTACAGCCATGTCTGCTTATTGTGCCGCGTTCATGTTGCATCAGGTTTTCATAGCTGCCAAATATGAATATTTACCCACAGAAAAATAAAAAAAGATGTGCATGATGTCCAGACTGGATTTAAGCGATAAATTGGAAACATGCTATTTTCTATTAATCTATCTTGTGGGCTAAATGTGGCCCTCAGGCCAGTCCTTTGAGATCTGCTTTAGACTTTGTACTTATAAATATAAACAAAATATATGTATTCATAAGCATAAACAATAATGTTTAAAATTATATAGATAGGGGGGAAAGAATTCAGACACCACAAATTAATAACATTAGTACTTTGTTTACACCCGTTGATGGCAATTACAGTTTGCCAACTACCCTGGCGGTTAGAGGCCCCTGAGCACTGACCCCACTGACCCAGTCACTAATCCATTCCTGTTCATTGGGCTTTTTATATAAATGATGTAAATGTAATTAGGCTACCAGTTGATAAATCTTTTCCACGTTCCACAGGATACACATACACACAAGAATACCCAGTACACACGCGTTCACTGAGAGCGCACAGTAGACAGCTGATACAGGATCAGTCCTGTCTTAGCTGATCAAAACATTGTCTGACACTGTAAAACGCTGAATATTCAGTATTGTCATGAGATTGACACAGCTTCTGCTTAGCTAGCTAGGTTTAAACATGAATCACTTTCTTTTTCTTTCTAAAAGACAACATAAAAGTTCAGAACTAAACAGCAAAGGAAAGGAGAGTGATACCAACAGCTGCCACTTTGGGCGTTACAGCTGTAAGAACCACTGCAACACCACAATGGTACCATGAGAAGTGCCTTTTTGGCACATCACCACTGCAGTGCAGGGCGGGTGGTATAAAACAAAAATGCTGTCTAAATGTATTATTAAACACAACTATCTCAGTCAAAGCTCAGATACCCGAGAGCATCTTCATTACTTTAAAGTAAATCCCTTCCTTCATGAAAGTGTGACTGGTTTGCGCTTTGCTGAACTGCAGCATGGTTAGCTTTGAAGGGCAAAAATGTGTGCAGAGTTAAAGGCTAGTTCAAGGGTGTTTTCACACCTTGTTCGTTTGCTAAAGTCCACACCGGAATTTGTTTTTTTGTGACACCGTTTGGTTGATTTCACACTTAAATCGCTAAAGTGCACCAATTAATACATGTAGGTGTTCTTTTCATCCTTTGAAATTATTTTTGTTTTAACTTTCATTTGCCCACCCTGGTATAAAACCCAGATCTTTTGCACACATATTCTTGAACAAATGTATTATCTTACTCATTGTGTTGCATGAAAGTAAAGAAGTTTAATGTCTACCTGTAGTGCAATCAGAGCAATAAAAATAAATCTCACTCCATTGCTACTTATTTATGATGATTATTTTAATGTGAATTCAACTAATCAGGTTGCCGATGTCTGGCCCAACCTATGTCACATAGGTCTATGTGATGAAATAAAATGAACATTATCGCTCGTCTGCTGTTATTAGCAGCCTCTGTAAAGAGTCAAATGTTAAACAGGTGCTGACGTGTACTGAGAAAAGTGTGTTAAATTCCCTTGTTTGATGCAGACCATGGTAAAAAGTGTTCCGTCAGCAGCAAAGCAAACCCCGATTCACTTTATAGCAAACTGAGACTCAAGATTTTGGTGGTCCATGGTTTCTTTGCAACCCATTCACAGATAAAGTGTTCACACCTGTCAAAACGGACTGACCTAAAGAAGTTGTTCACCAGACAAGGTACTCCATTAAGTTTCACATGAACCTCTGACTTTATCTATTTACCCAAAAACACCTATTACTAACCTACCAATGGCCCTATCTCTTCCTTACACTTGCTTATCTCACCAGTCGTAAGAGTTTTTTGTTTACAATTATAAATACATTTTTGTTCCCATTTTTTAACTGTAAAGTCAGTAAAGTGTGTAAATCTGAAGTGGATATGCACATTAATACATATATTAGATAACAAACAAAATGTCTGAATACTTGTTTCCCTCATAGTAGGTGCTCTTTGTAATTCTGCAGTTACAGATTGTAATGCATTTGTTTCTGTTCATAAGTTCCAAAGAAACAAATGGATTACATGCACAGTTTTCAGCCAAGTATCAGCAATCTATTCTGTTGAAATTCAAAGAGGTAAACCAATCATAAAGGAGCTGATATCAAGTAAGGTTGATTGTTACTGCTTTGTTTGTGATACACAATCAGCGTCTTGATTTTCTCTTTTTCTGTTTTCATGGTGGCAAATGTGAGAGTAACAGAGGACTTACATCCCTGCAAAACGTCTGACCAATCAACAAACACCCGCATGTATAACTTGGTCCACTTAAGCTGTTTTGTGAAACCAACCGAACCGTTGTGTGAAAACAAACTGCTATCTGAGGCTGAAATGTTTTTTCTTAGATATCTCTGATCCTACATTGTGATATTTTGTTTATAATGGAAGAATGAGCTCTTTGTAATTATAGACATTAGACTTCTATAAAAATACACAATGAAAAGAGATAGAAAGGAGGAATGGCAGTTTTTCAAAGATTTTTTATTTGTATTAATTTATTTTTGTTTTTTACAGCAAAGAAGCATCCCCTTGTATCCCTCCCTTCAGATCATACCTAATAAAGAGAATAGTGAGCGTATACGAACTGCAGGTTTTAGACTATATTTTGTCGAGCAGAACTAATAGTCAGGATTATGTTGTATTCTAGGTTAACCAAGATGGTGTTTTAGCTAAGTCCATGGATAACCAAGTTCACAAACTGGTGTTTTAGCTAAATTAATAGTTATACAAGTTAACAAACTCTTTCTGTGATGGTCCCTTAAAGACTGAAGTTCTGTTTTCCAGTCTGTCTTCAGCAGGTCCAGGCTTTCATTTCATACTCCGTTCAGCCGGTTTGCCCTTACTAGGATGCTGTTGTGCAGTCTGTTACACAAATGTGTGGCTCATTGTCAAAAGAGTAAAGATCATGTGTGCAAAGTATGATTTCTAGTTAGAAGTAAGTAGCAATTCATTTTCTAGAGTATACTCTTTTATATTTCAGTTTGATGTTGCAACACTAATACGCTTCGCTTGACCCACCAGGGGAGAAACAGGAAGCCCTGTGTGTGCCTATCAGTGGTCTGATCTGACATCTGCTTTCCACAGTCTTTGTGCAGGTTCATTGCGATGAAGACGCTTCATCACTCCAAGATGATGTTTACATGTGTTCTGTTTTTCATCATTTATTGTTTGGTTGGTAAGTTATTTAGCAGTGTTATCAGTAAGTGCTAGAAAAGTACTAGTAGAATTCCTCATAAAGAGTATTTATTCAAGCGCAATAGCAGATTTGCAGACAGCATAAACGTCTCCATTCACATTTGTTTCTCTCTTTTTTAGGTGTCGATGGTGCAATAGAAATGGATAACCCAGCTTCCGTCACCGGCAGCTTGAGGAAAAATGTCACAATTCCTTGCAATTTTAAGGTTACTCCAGATCAACCAATTAATAGTGCAAATGTCATTTGGTGGAAGGACCAGGCTTACAGTGGCCCTCTCCTCTATCGATGTGGAAGGAACGCTGACTTGTCTGGGAACTGCACAGAATCAATTGGCCGCTATTCTTTTGGGGGTATTCTTACAGAACGAAACATAGCACTGCGGATAAGTAATGTCATACATAGTGATGTTGGAGTGTACTTCTGTCGCATCGAACTGGAAGAAAAAGAGAACTGGTTTACATCAAATGGAATTATGCTGAAAGTGAAAGGTGAGGTGATTTTTTTTTTTTAAAGATGCTGCCGTGCATCTTCCCCAGTACACGACTCTCAGGCTTCAAATGGTTACTTTATTTAAAATGTATTGCAATACAGATTACTGATAACCTGTTATAGACAAATGTAATATATTATGTAATCCAATGTATTACTATAATTATACTATAAATACGTAATGCAATCTGATTACTTTCCATTACTTTTAGATTACTTGTCTTTTCAAAGTCAAAAATTCCAGTGATTTCTGCATAATTCAGTGGTTGAGATGTGAAAACATTGATTCAGAGTGGTTTGATGTGGAATACTTTAATTGTAGAGGAACTTAAAAACTCAGATATCTTTACAGTGGTGGTGATGGGAACCAGGAGTCATGTCTACAACACAAATATAGCCATTTTACTTACTATCCAAAACCACCAGTGAACCTACTCCTGAGTTTTTCTGTGTAATGTTGATGATGGTAAAGTAGTGATAAATCTGGGATAAGTAACTTTTCTTCAGACACTATTTTGCCTTACAATGACCTGCATTTACCTCTCCACCATGAATGGATTTTGAAAACTGTATCTCAAAGCTGTCGTAAAAAACAGTCTCTCCAGCATCAGGCAGCGTATTCATAACATTTTGATGCATTAACTTTCTGTGATGTAGCTTTTAAAGACATCAAATTCTTCAGACATCTGGTTCCTATCACCTCCACTGGGAACCTTTCTGATTTGGAAAGTCATTTCACATCAAACCAGGCTGAATGATTTGATACAAACAGTCACTGATCTCACATTTAACTTAGTGGAGAATTTAGTGGAGCAATATATAGAAATATGTCAAGCATAAAGATGACAACTTTGTACAGGGAAAGCTGTGCAAGTTCAGACCTGCATACTCATGAAAAAGTGAGAAAGGCGACAAGTTTGGCAACGAAGTGAACTGAGAGGCCATGAAACTTTGATGTCTACACCCAGCTAGTGCTGTAAATGTTCTATAAGGAGTTGTGCAGCTAATGGTTGAATGTACATGGTATTTTATTAGACTAATAAACAATGTGAGAGAAGAAGCCATTATTTCATGACCTACACTGCTAGAAATAAAGGTACTGTGCAGGTACATTTTTTGTTCATCAAGGTACAACAGTGGTTTAAATTGTGTACCCTCAATAAGTTTTTCCAGGTGAAAAATACATATTTGGACCTTTTCATAAGCTAACGTTTTAAAACATAACAATAAAATAAAAAGCCTTGAGACGAGACAGGATGTGTGGAGTCAATATTACTTAAAAAAAATTTAAATTCAGTGGATTATTGTACAATTATGTTCCCTACTAAAGTTACTGAGCTGTACCCTTGAAGGTACCACCCTAGTGACAAGAGGGGTACTGCCCCAGTGACACTTTATTACCTTTTGTTCTAAGAGTGTATATGGTGCACTGCTTAGGAAGTGGGGAGACATTTGAGATTCAGCCCAAGAGATGCCATTTGTTGACGGTCCTTCAGATCTCAGCGGCAGTCCACCGAAATCGGCATGTCCGACCAGTTTTAAAAGGCATTGATTTCACACAAAACTAAGTGACCAATAGACCATTAGAACTATTGAGATTAAAACCGGATGGTTTTGATTTCTAATGGGAATTGGCTTCATAGTTACCATTCGTGACCACTAATTCCTGTAGGACACCTTTAGATCCCTTTAGGAAACCATCAAATGCATCTGGAATCATTCCCAGAGCACCAGCTAAACCATTAGACTCCTTGTAACATCAACCCATTAGGAAAACACAAAACAAGAGAAACTTTTAATGACAAATCTGTAAGCATAGCAGAAAACAGTTACTTTTTTGTATGCTGTTTAAGTAACGCATTACATTTATTCCATTACCATGCCACCCTGACTACAATACAACCAATAAACGTACAGTGTGAAACATAACAGTAAAAACACACTTTCTGGCCGTACTCCAGTAGGTTTTTCAAGCATTTTTCTTAAGGTAATAGATGCTTGCTTGATTTAAGGCGATATATTTGCATCTGCCTAAGACACACCTCAGTTCAGGTGTGAACACAGTTGTATGATTTTTCCTATTTTAAAACACCCAAATTAACTCATATCTAATGTAAGAACTAACTGATGAAGTGTAGGCTAACAGGTCCACCGCCTAGTCAAATTCTGATACATTTTGGTTCTTTGATTCTTGATAAATAATATACACCAATCAGCCATAACATTAAACCACCTCCTTGTTTCTACACTCATTGTTCATTTTATCAGCTCGAGATGCACTTTGTAGCTCTACACTTACAGACTGTATACTTTGTTAGCCCCCTTTCACCCTGTTCTCCAATGGTCAGGACCCCTAATGGACCAACGCAGGGCAGGTCTTATTTGGGCGGTGGATCATTCTCAGCTCTGCAGTGACACTGACACGGTGGTGGTGTGTTAGTGTGTGTTGTGCTGGTCTGAGTGGATCAGACACAGCAGTGCTGCTGGAGTCTTCAAACATTGTGTTCACATCTACAAGGTGGTAGGAGTGTCTAATGGAGTGGACAGTGAGTGGACACTGTTTAAAAACTCCAGCAGCACTGCTGTGTCTAATCCGCTCGTATCAACATCTTGTGGGATATTTTAGAATGTGCAATGTTTACACAAAGGATACCAAACAACCAGCCTGTAAGACAGATCTATACAGCCCATAACAATTCAGCCCACAAATATATATATTTAAATTTTTTTCTGCTGCTAAATATTTACAAACCCAATTCAAGAAAAGTTGGGACAGTGTGTGAAACGTCAATAAAAACATAAAGCAGTGGAAACATTGATTAGTAGATGCTGTTTGACCTGTTTTGAAAACGGTACAAAAACACAATATTTTGTGGTTCAGCTTATGAACTTTTTTGTTTTTTTGTAAATGCTTATTGTAAATTTTAAGCCTGCGACACATTCCAAAAACATGGGGACAGGAGCACCATTGTGTTACATCACCTTTCCTTTTAACAGTGTTTTGGAGAATGAAGACAAAAAACTCATCTAGTTTTGAAAGCGGAATTGTTTTTCATTCTTCCGTTATCCAAGTCTTCAGCGGCACAACCATACAGGGCCTTTGCTGTTGTGTTTCGTGCACACATTTTCAATGAGAGACAATTCTGGACTGCAAAAAGGCCAGTCTAGTATCCACACCTCTGATTAAGCAGCCATGCTGTTGTAATATGTGCAGAATGTAACGTGGTGTTGTGATGTTGAAATAAGCACGGACATCCTTGAAAAAGACTTTTGTGTAGACGGCAGCAAAATTTGATTGAAAATGTGTTGTGAATTCAAAGATGTGCAGGTTACTCACTAATACCCCCACTGACAGATGCTGGCTTTTGAACTTTATGCTGATAACAATTTGGATGGTCCTTTTTCTCTATTGCCCAGAGAACATGACGTCCATTATTTCCATAAATAATCGGAAAGGTTGACTCAGAAGACGACAGTTCATGTTTCCACTGTGCATCAGTCCATTTCAGATGAACTTGAGTTCAGAGAAGTCGGCAGCATTTCCTCTATGTATAGTACAGTCTTAACTTTTATTTGTGGATGCAATGACAGACAGTGTTTATTGAAAATAGCTTGTGAAAGTATTTCCAGGCCCATGTAGTGACATCTGTCACAGAAGCACGGTAGATTTTAAAGCAGTGCCATCCGAGGAATGAAAGATCACAGGCATTCAGTTGTGTTTTTTGGCCTTTATGCATGGAGATTTCTCTGGATTGCCTGAATCTTTTGATGTTATAATGCACTGTAGAGGGTGAAATACCTAAATTCTTTGCTGTCCTTGACTGAGGAACATTATTTTTAAACTGTTGCATTTTTTACTGATGCATTTTTGGCGAGCCTCGACCCATCTTTCCTCATAAAGCACTAGACCTTGCCAGATTTTACATCTACACATGATCACCTGTTTAAAATGTTTTTTAAATGTTTCTTGCTTGAATTGCTCCTGTCCCCACTAATTCGGAATGTGTTGCATGCATCAGTGTCAAAATGAATGTATGTTTACAACAATGAAGCTGTTTTATCTTATCAAATTCATTGTTACAACAATGAAGTTGATAAGATAAAACATTACATATTGTCTTTTTTAATCTTTTCATTCAAATATGGGTCAAAGTAGATTTATGAATCATTGCTTTCTGTTTTATTTGCGTTTCACAAACTGTCCCTACTGTATGGAATTGGGTCAGTACATCTGAGGTTTATATTTACTTCGCCTACCAGACACTGTGGCTGGTCACCTAACGTAAGTTATATGAAATCAGCTCTAAAGCCAGGCCTACACTACACAACTTTTAAAATCCTTACATACTTCAGAAACAGACAGTAGCCTAGAAACATCATTATATGCCATTATATCAAAAACATGACAAGCAAGTCCTCAGTGAATGGGATGAACGGAGCTAAACAGCTAAAACTGAAAACATTTCTGACCATTATGTCCTAGTCATATTAAGCACAATCCACTGTGTCATATCATTCAAAAGAGTTTTTAAGAAAGAAAAATGCGTTCTGATTTCTGAATCACATTGACTTTAATTCTGGAAAGTAGACAGATGTAAGCAAAGAAAGCTTAGCAGTATCTTTCCATTTTTCACGGCGAATAAGTTTGGGGTAGTAGGGCTCTCTCTCTCGCTCTCTCTCTCTCTCTCTCTCTCTCTCTCTCTCTCTATGTGTGTGTGTGTGTGTGTGTATATATATATATATATATATATATATATATATATATATATATATATATATATATATATATATATATAGGTTGTCTGATTTACATTTAAAAGCTACAACTCATTCTTTTCTCCTTAGTTTTAAATATAAAACTAATATAATGAAATAATAAAAAATCAAAATAAAAGAATTGAGTAGTGTACATCTGAAGAAACACATCTTTTGAAATATCATTTTGCACTTGCCTTTGTGCTGAATGGGTTTAAGGAAGCAGTAGCGCACAAGTGGAATCGCCTACCGAAATGCGTTCAAAAATATCACTCAAATGCCACATCCCCATTGCACCACTTCACCCACATCAGCACAGATGATCAACACCAAAATAGCAACTGGGCCTGACCTTGCAAAAATGCATGTGTGTCCAGCAAAAATAGCAATACACTGATGTTATATTTAGACTGCACTCAGACATACATGAAATAAAGGCATATAACCTCCTAAAGCTACACTTCTTTGTAATCACAAATCCCAACAGAATTCCCAGCTTATGCAAGATCGACTTTCCCAAGATTGCTGACATAAACACGGTCTAAATAGGGACGTACACAGTGATCAGTAAAAATACTCCCTTTGCTGCAGTAGTAGTGAGTGCGTAATGCTAGTGTCTTGTCCACCTAAAACCTATGCCCAAAGAAAAGAACATAAACAGTGTATCAGTTGACGATGGAACGCTGTAGTACAGCTAAAGGCACGTTATTGAAAAACATTTTTGTTATGTGTGTAATACATTCCATATAACATGTTCCATATGCAGACTTTTTAGTTTTAAACAGATAAATTGAACATTTTGTTGTATCGGAATTGCACAGCGTGAGAACAGTGCAATATGGACAGTTTATCCAGACTAAATGCTCTACAAAAGCATTATTTGATGAAAAAACATATTAAAGCAGATTTTAAGCTTCATTTCGGAGAGTTGATTATTTTATGATAGCATGTTATATATATATATATATATATATATAACAATATTTTTTTTTTGTTTTTTTTATTTTTTTTTATTTAGTTCCATGCTCTAGCTAGCTGGCTGTCATTGTCACTGCATCTGGCACAATCTTGCGAGGTTTTATTCAATGCTTTAGATGATGATGATGAGGGTCAGTTTCAGACAGAATTTTTGTTGTACTCGGGTCAGTTTCAGACTCAAAACATGATGATGTGGTTCACATCAGGTCAGGGTTGGGTAAAAAATTCTCTGTCTGTATTTGGGTCCAGACCAAGGCTCTAGGCCCAGCCTGTCCTACTAAACATAGGTGCATTGAACTTAGTTGAACTGGCAGAAGCAGTGCTCCCTATTAAGTCCTTTAGAACATCGACTGGATTTTAATCAGCTTTGTACACTTGAGATAATCCAGTATTTATTGATTTGGCCACAGATATGGAGGACCAGATTTGCCAAATTGAAAAATAAATAAAATTAAAAAATAAATGGCTCAGTAAATTAATCAATAAATAAAAAAACGAATTATTATTATTATAAAACTAACTATTGCTTACTGTGATTGTAATTATACACATATATCCTTTTTCTGCAGTTATATATTTCTCAATTTATTTATTTCTGTATTATTTATTTTGTTTTATTAGTGCCATTTTTTATATTTTTTCCATATCTATATTTTTAACAATTGTTCGCTTTATTCTTTGATTCATGTATTCATTTATTTATTTTTTTTTCATTAATTCATTTATTTATTTCTTCGTTCATATCATAATGAAGGGGCGTGTTTTTCACGTTCAGGCTTAGCAATCAAGACCAGGAGGAGAAGAGCTGATTAAACTGTTCTTTCACCAACTCCATAAAGAACTGCACGGAGAGAAAACCTGCCGATAAATAACTCTCGAGGGCTTCCACAGGCTGTATGTGAGAAGGGTGTCCAAATGTCTGAGTGATCTGAAATTTGCAGAAAAAGATGCTGAACCACCTCCTCCAAAGTTCTGAACACTACTGGTCGACCTCTGTATCAGCAAATTTTCTATAATTTCTATATAAATATAGAAATAAGTAGTTATGGAAATAAATTTATAAAATAAATTAATAGAAAAACAGAAAAAATGTTAATAAAGAAACATAAATAACAAAATTACAACATTAACTAATTACAAAAATTAGTGAGAAGGGAAAATTACTAAATAGACATATAAATAAATGCAGACATATTTATATAATTTTTTTATAATATAAAATAATATATATATATATATATATATATATATATATATATATATATATATATTTTTTTTTTTAGATTTATCATCATTATTCTTTGCAATTCTACTTCAAATATTAATTTACTAAGTCATTTATTTTTAATTTTATTCATTTTTCATTTTGGGTAATCTGGTCCTCCATAACAGAGGTTACAAGTAAAAGTCCTTTCCCACATGAAGTCTTCACAGATGCTTTTCAGATGGATGGGACTAAAAACATTGAAAATACTCTTGGTATAATTAGATTAGTGCACCTACTCATAAATTAATCTCACCCAAATACAAACCCAATTCCAAAAAACTCAGGACAGTATGTGAAATGTTTATGAAAAGAAAAAGCACTGATTGGTAAATTATGTTGGACCAGTATTGAGTGAAAACAGTGCAAAAATATAATATTTATTACTTATGACTTACCATACAGTTATGATAGTTGTTAATTATTTAGTAATTTACATTACTTAACCTTTTCTTCAGCATATGAACTTCATTGTAAATATATGCGAATACAAATACAAGAAGAATTAGATATACTGTACGTGTTGATGTTACATAACCTATTCCAAAACACAGACTGGCAGGGATGCCTACAGAGCACCGGTAGTAGCCTGTTAATGAAGTGATGTTCTTTTTTATTTGAGGGACCCATTTCATAGGGGAAGATTTGAACCACTGCCCCCAGGCACTCGAAAAGAAGGTGTATGAGTGAAAATTAGCAATGGGATTGGGCCTACGACTGAGGAGTTTACATGCACACTCTACTCAACAATCTGATGAAAATCTCCGTTTACATGCACACTACAAGTAATCAGATCCAAATTTACACGCATGGGTAGAACACCACTTAGTGTAAATGTTACCATGACAACGAGCATCACGTGAGTCCAGTCAGAGTGTGTCGAGCAGCAGTGTGTTACCTGAGTGTTCAGCTGGCGCGCTTGTGTTTTTAATTGTGCTTTAAAATGATGTGCTTGTGTTTTAAATTATGTCAGACTCAGGAAAATGTACGACACGTGCTTATTAAAGAAGGTGTGAAAGGAAGATGTCATGTCCTGCAACATTCTGAGATCATCTACCCATCCTGCTAACTATTTTTAAGTCTTAAAGTTTGAAACACTTCATCTCCTCTACAGACCTGTTTCTGGGCCCCGCCATGTTGAACGATATAAACTTATACTATGACGCAAATCTACATGTGCAAATCGTACTTAAACTTTTCAGTTGGGAATGTAATTAGATACAGATGTTTACATGCCTATTATTCTTCTGTTTAACAGAATATTTACAGGATTACCCATCTAATGCAGTTGAATAGAAACTGTATTCTGAATGGCCTCAATCTGAATAGTCTATGGAGGTTTATATAAGGATGTATTCTATTCCGATTGAGCTGTTACTCAGATTATTAATGGATGGTCAGGCTGCATGTAAACAAACTATTGTATTTTGCATACATTTTCAAGGGGGGTTTGGTCTGGACTGCAGGAAGGCCAGTTTACTCTCTGACTAGTCTTAAATTGCCCCTGTCCCAACTTTCTCAGAATTTCAGAATGAATGCATATTCACAATTGTTTTTCTTTTGTAATTAATGAATCGAAAAATTATGAACAGAACATTTATAAATCACTATTTTCTGGTTTTATTTGCATTTCTGTTTTTTTAAATACATAACTCATAAAAATCTGTCCATCTCACACAGAGCCCAGGGAATTGCAGCGTATTTATATTCAGACCACTGTGACGGGGGAGCACTGGGTTACGTGTGAAGTTTCTGGAGAGCCTCTACCAACTGTAAAATGGACCCAGCCAGAAAACATCAAGACCTCCCAGTTATTTTTCCAGACTGGCTTCCTGGCGTCATATTCTCTTCCTGTGTCCCCCAATACCAACTACACCTGCCAGATAGATGGAGAGAATGGGCCAGAAGCACAGTCAATATACAACAGTCACCAGGAATCTACTCATTCTACGTGTGTGTGTCAAGATGACATGTATCTAGCCATGCTTGGAGGGCTGGGGGCCGTACTGGGAATTGTTCTTATTGTCAACCTCTTTGTCTTGGCACACTGCTGCAGGAGAGGTGAGGAACTAGACACATATCATTTGATCCTCTCACAGTCAGTGAATTATGAAAATGTTCAAATACAGCTCAGTTATTATAGGGAAGAAGCTCTTTTTCACTGGAACAGTCTTAAAAGTTCCAAAAGGTTTTTTGGGGCACAGCCACAGAGGAACCCTTACACCTCTTACAGAGGTGCCACTGTAGTCTTTAGAGTGAAACATTCTGTTAACAATGTTCCTTAAAGGTGGGTGAAAGTTCTGAAAAACTACAAGTAGTTTTGGGTAGATACTACACTGTCAGAAATAAAGGTATGAAATTGCCACTGGGGCAGTACCCCTCTTGTCACTGGGGGGGTACCCACAAGGGTACATCTCAGTACCTTTAGTCAGGGAGCATAATTGTACCATAATATACTGATATTATATTTCCTAAGTTGTATTGACTCCACACACCCCGTCTCGTCTCCAGGCTTTTTATTTTATTTTTCTGTTTTAAAATATTAAGTTATGAAAACGAACAAATTTGTACTTTTTTCATCTGTAAAAAACTTATTTAAGGTACAACATTTGACTTTAACACCACTGTCGTACCTTTGAGGATACATTTATATTGTTTGTACCTTCATGCATCAAAAATGTACCTGCACAGAACCTTTATTTCTAACAGTGCAGTAAGCAGGCTGTTTAGAATTGTTTTTGTTGTTGTTATTGTTTTCCTTACTAGCTAGCTAATGCAGAATGGAAAACATTAATAAATCTGCTTCTAAGATTAGTTTTTTCAGTTCATAAAACCACACAAACCTCTAAAGTTGACAAATCAAGTTAATATGAATTGAATTGAAGATTTATTGATCAAATCTGATCAAATCTGAGGCACTGAATCATTTTCATCTTGAGCCATTAGCTACACTAATCTTTTTTTAATGTACCGTCCCTAGTAGCATCAGAAGCTAGTGTTAGCTTAGGTCTGATATCCACAAAGTTAAAGCAAGTGCAGTTCAGTGACTGGTGCTGGAGTAATAAAAACACAGAAATCCCAGCTGTTCTGTGGTGTGTTGAGCTCAGCTCTACTTTGCTTTCCTTAGCACTGTTCAGCATTTCCCAATAGCTGATTAACTTGGGGTTTAACATTGAATGAGTGATGACTTTGCTGGTTTATTTTCTGATTATTAATCAAAAAATCTGATTATTAAGAAAAAAAAGTACAGCAACCTTGGTGAAAGGGAAGTGGAGAGGTTTGGGAACCGGGATGCAAGGAGGAGTTTACAATTTGCATAATCATGCATATTCATAAACCTTTTGCATTATTATTACGAGTTAGAGAGTTAGGGTTGAGGGATGCCATATTCAACATTGATTTTTTCTGGTTTAAATTCGAAATTTGGAGGTACTTTAAACTACCATTGCCTGTTGCTGAGCAAGTGCTTTTATATTTGCTATGTCATCCCTGCAAAAGTAGCCCTTTAATTACATTTAAAGTGGCAGTTCAAGACTTGTTGATGCCTGCAAACACCCTGAAAATATTTATTCAAGCTTGTTATAGAAAGTCTCATTTCAGCCTGATAGCACATGTTTTTGTTTCGAGGTTTAGATGTGCAACAGGGAGTTTTTGGCAATTATCAAGGGAACAGAAAAAGAAATAAAAAGCACTATGCACATGCAGAAATTACACAAAAAGTGATATGAAACCACTTGTTTTTACGTGAACACAATATATTCCATCAGCATAAGTTTGTGTTTTAGTTTATTTACTTTTGACAATAATAGCATTTGTATAATATTGTTTTCATGTGAAAATAATATACACAAATGAATCAGTTCACTGATTTTGCTTCTTTTTTGTTGTCTTCGCCTTCTCTTTCTGCCTCTTCTGCTTCTTCCTCTTGATTTTTCTTCGATTTCTTCTGTTTTCTTCTTTCTTCTGCTTCTTCTTCTTCAGCTTTTTCTTCTTATTCGTCTTCTTCTACTTCTTCGTCTTCTTCTGCTCTGTCTTCTGTTTTAAATGATGGTGTATTAATTTACTTTGCCATCTTTCCATTAGTACTCTTATTTTTTTCTTCTTCTTTCATCTTCTTCTGATTTTGCTTCCTCTTTTTCTACTTCATCTTCTTTTATCTTTTATCTTCTTCTTCTCCTTATGCTGCTTCTGCCTCTGCTTCTTGTTCTTCTTGTTCTTGTTCTTCTTCTTATATGTCAACTTGTTTACCACTTGTAGCTTCTCAAAACCCTTACCTCCTAGATATGAGCCCATTTTGTTTTTAGATAGCCTTATTACAGTGAAGGTGCCACAAGTTCAACAGTGCATAATAAAACTATTATATAGAAGTTTATTATTTCATATTTCACATACAATTATTATTTTACATTTATTCCATCTACTATTGCTGGTAAACACCTGAACTGAAATTCAGTTAACAGGCATAACATTATGACCACCTCCTTGTTTCTATGCTCATTGTCCATTTTATCAGCTCCACTTACTGTATAGGAGCACTTTGTAGTTCTACAATTACAGACTGTAGTCCATCTGTTTCTCTGCACACTTTGTTAGCCCCCTTTTACCTTGTTCTTCCATGGACCCTCACAGAGCAGGTACTATTTGGGTGGTGGATCATTCTCAGTAGTGCAGTAACACTGATGTGGTGGTGGTGTGTTAGTGTGTGTTGCGCTGGTCTGAGTGGATCAGACACAACAGTGTCACTGCTGGACTGAGAATAGTCCACCATCCAAAAATATCCAGCCAACAGCGTCCTCTGACCACTGATTAAAGACTAGAGGATGACCAACACAAACTGCGTAGCAGCAGATAAGCTATCGTCTCTGACTTTACATCTACAAGGTGGACTGACAAGGTAGGAGTGTCTAAGTGAGTGGACAGTGAGTGTTTAAAAACTCCAGCAGCACTGCTGTGTCTGATCCACTCATACCAGCACAGCACACACTAACACACCACCACCACGTCAGTGTCACTGCAGTGCCACCCAAATAGTACCTGCTCTGTGAGGGTCCATGGGGGTCCTGACCACTGAACAACAAGGTAAAAGGGGGCTAAGAAAGTATGCAGAGAAACAGATGGACTACAGTCTGTAATTGTAGAACTACAAAGTGCACCTATACAGTAAGTGGAGCTGATAAAATAGACAATGAGCATAGAAACAATATATATATACATATATATATATATATATATATATATATATATATATATATATATATATATATATATATATATATATTTAGCAAATAAAAGGCTTTTTGGTCTTGTGTTCCTGGCTCCATTACTCATCATTTAGTTCATATCTAACATCTACAGATTATACAGCTTGAGTTCATGAGAGAGACACAGCAAATTCATAATGTTGACATTTTCAGGTCAGTTTCATGTCCTATAAAGGTAATTAACTCAGATGCATTTTCTTTTCATGTTACTTTTGCAGCTGCTGCCACCAACAGCTCTGAAAACGCTGACAACATCTACCATAACTTTCCTCGTATAACTGACTTGTAAGTTTCATTCCTTTTTTCTTTATAAATGAAATTAGATAAACATTCCTCTGTAAGCACGAAAGCTTAAAGTGACTTATGTGTTGGTCTCTTTCTCTTTTTTCAACAGAGATGGAATCTATATGAATGCCCGCAAAACTACTCCCACTTCAAAATAATCTACTAATGTTAGTAACCGCCTTGTGAGTGAAAGGTTTATAGGCTGGCAAATTCTGCAGAAAACGTTTATTTTCTCACGGAAAAGTCTTCTTTTAGACAAAGAATCAATCTTCTTTTTCTCTTATTTGTATTTAATACCATTTCATAAGCACAATCTGTTCTTATTTTGAAATTGCTTTAATTTTTATATTTTCTTTTTCCTTCTGTTTTTAATATTTACATTTACAGAATGATCTTTAATGCAAAGTACACGCTTTGCAGTTTGTTCACTGTCAGAAAAAACAGAATGCAAATGGCAATCACTGAGAAAGTCAGATTCTCTAATAATATAAAACATTTTGCACAATTTGGGTTATTTCATTAAATGAAACTGACCTGAACCCTCTGTAGATACTCATGTAATCATGTGGTGCTCCAAAGCCAAAATGTCAAAGCCTGCATTAACTTGATCATGGTACCTGAGCTAGCAATAGTTATATCTCGCTGTATGACTGCACAAGTAGACAGTTGAATAAGAGTCTGCTTTGTTTTAACTGCGCAAGTGGAGAAGCAAAATACCTGCACCTTAATGTTCCCATGCTACAAGGTAATAGATCAAATAAATTATTGATCCCATAGCAGAGTCATGTGGGACAGGAAATAGAGAAAGGAATACCTTTTCCTTTATACCTGTATAAATTAATACACTTTTAATTTGTAATTAATGGTTTTTAGCTCCATTACATGAGCTCTGTGCAACACTACAATTCCAGTATATTAACCATGGAGCTGTGTAGCATCTTTTTATTTATTTTTTTACAACCCCAAAAAAGTTGGGACGCTGTGCAGAATGTAAATAGAAATAGGATGCAATGATGTGCAAATCATGTAAACCATATTTTTGAAGGAAAATACTACAAAGACAACATATCAAATGTTGAAACTAAGAAGTTTTTCTTGTTTTTTGAAAAAATTTATGCCCATTTTGAAATTGATAAACACATTCCAAAAATGTTCGGACGGGGGCATGTTTACCACTGTGTTTCATCACCTCTTCACCTCTTCTTTTAACGACACTCTGTAAGTGTTTGGGAACTGAGGAGACCAATTGCTGTAGTTTTGAAAGTAAAATGTTTTCCCCTTCTTGTTTGATACAGGATTTCAGCTGCTCAACAGCTCAAGGTCTCCTTTGCCATATTTTTCATTTCATAATGTGCCAAATGTTATCAGTTGGTGACAGTCTGCAGAATCATGTCTGTTTTTAATGCAGTGCCACCTGCGGGCCCAAAGATCATGCCCAGCATATACTGGTTTTTGGCTTTGTCCCGTGCATATAGAGATTTCTCCAGATTCTCTGAATCTTTTATTTATATTTTGCACTATAGATGATGAAAAGCAAAAGTTATTTGCTATTTACATTGAGAAATGTTATTCTTGAATTGTTGCATCGTGTAGTCTTTCTCAGAACAGTGAACCCCTCCTCACTTCTGAAAGACTCAGCCTCTCTGAGATGCTCTTTTTATACCCAATCATGTTACTGACCTGATGCCAATAAACGACCAGGTGTTTTTTTAGCATTACACAACTTTACTAACCTTTTGTTGCCCCCATCCCAATTTTTTGGAACGTGTTGTTGGCATCAAATTCAAAATGGGCATATATTTTTAAATAAACAATAAAATTTCTCAGTTTCAACATTTGATATGTTGTCTTTATACTATTTTCAGTGAAATGGGTTTAAATTATCTGCACATCACTGCATTTTGTTTGACTTTTTTTTTCTGACCATGCTGTAAATTAGGTTATCAAATTGTATGATTATCTCTCTCCATGCTCCTCTCACACTGCTTGAAGCCTGAAGCCATGTCAACAATGCGTTACATGTTTCTAATACAGCTTAATGTAAAGTCAAATTATTTGTATTTTATTTTTTATCTATTTAATATTTCAACTGTGTTTAACTGTACAAGCTAATAAATATAGACATTCAAATCTAAACTGGTTACTCCATGCATGTTGTGTTATTATGTAATATCTTTTCATCCATTACATCCAGAAAAAAATTTATTAACCTGCCATGGTTGCATACCTACAATAGCAAGTTACCAGCAAACTTACAACCTAACAATCGAGCATCCCACGATACACTGCCACGAAAAAATGTTTACACACTGTTATATGGCCAAAAGTATGTGGACTCCTGACATTACAGCTAAATAAGCTTGTTTGACTGGTTTGGAATCAACAGTCCAGTTCATCCCAAAGATGTTCAGTGGGGCCGAAGTCAGGGCTCTGTCCAGGCCACTGGAGTTCCTGCACAAACTCATTAAATCAGATCTGTTGAGGATCTAATTGATTCTTTCCATGATGACTTAACTGGGGGTTATTTGTTAGCTGAGGTTCATTGGTTCCAAAATTCAAAGATCCTCTGATGGCAGATCAGAATGTTATTCTTACTGTGTTTTTAATTTCATAATAAAAATGGATGCATGTTGTTTGTTTTATAATAAGTTGACTTTAGGTGGTGATTCTGAATATGTCATTATTTACTTCCGAGACTTGGACTTGGACTAAGTTGGACTAAGACTGTAATAATAATAATATTTTTATGTTAAATATTATTTAATGTAATATATCTTATATTCTGAAAAAATCTTGTTTGACATCCAATTCCAAAACCTTGGGGTTTAATATGGAATCCCCCCACCACCCCCTTGCATTTATAACAGCCTCCACTCTTCTAGGAAGGCTTTCCATATGATGTTTAAATGTGTCGGTAGGAATTTGTGCCCATTCAGCCAAAACAGCATTTGTAAGAGAAGGCCTGGTTTGGAGTCAAAGGTCCAGTTCATCCCAAAGGTGTTCAGTGGGGCTGAAGTGAGGGCTCTGTCCAGGCCACTGGAGTTCCTGCACAAACTCATTAAACCATATTTTACAGAGTAAGTATCCTCTACTCTGTCTGGGTATCAGTTCTCTCTTTCCAGTCTCGCAGACTCGCCCAGGCACATCCTTTGAATATCTTGAGCCTCAAATTCAACTGTGTCAAGTCACAATGGTTTTAGGGCAAATTCTGCTGCCAAAGTCAACACTTTGTTCACTCAGTCCTGCACCCCTCTGAGGGCTCATCTCATAAACTTCACTTGTGCTGATAAAATAATTAAACGACCGTTGTGATCATTGTCACAGACTCCCCTGAGGGGAAATGGGAAGACAAAGTGGACAAGGGCTTGTTAAAACCAGTGTTGAAAAGAGCAGCAGAATTAATAAATCATCAGTTTTTTGACTTGGACATACAGGTCCATAAAAACAACATTTCAGGAATAGTATTATAGTTTATCACTTTCTCAGTGTGAGAAAGCCATCTTTACTGCCCTTATATGTATATAACTGATGCCTGCCATGTGAAGAATGACAATAAACAGTGTATTCTCAACATTACTGGTGCAACTGATGATATAATGTAATACAGCCAGTACTTGAAAATTATTCACTGTATTGTAACTACAGTTATACACAACATTATTACTTTGCTGCCCTCTATTGACCATCACAATGCTTCTCCAACAAAACTGCTTGCAATACCACGAGGAACAAATGAGAGCTCACTTTCACTCATCATAATCTACAGGCCACCAGGGCTTTACTCTGAATTTTTACAGGAATTTACTGACCTGTTATCTAGTTTAATAACAACCTCAAATAATGTAATAATTGTTGGAGATTTTAATATCCACATAGACAGACCACAGGATCCACTAAGTAAGGCATTTGTATCTATTTTAGACTGTTTTGGCTTCACTCAAAATATTATGGGGCCTACTCATTACAGTAACCACACTCTAGACTTAATATTGACCTTAGGTATAGACATTAAGCACTTGGCCATCGTTCCTCAGACCACAGCAGTGTCAGATCACTACTTAATCTCATATGAAATCAGTTTTAGTCATAATACATGTTCATCCACACGCTATAGTGCTAAGCGTACTATAACATCGTCTACACCCAATAGCTTTATTGAAAACCTTCCAGGTCTTTCATCCTTAATTAGCTGTCCGTCTGAACCTAATGAATTAGATATGCTGACTAAATGTTTGGAGGACACTTTTTGCTCCACTTTAGATATTGTGGCTCCACTAAAAAGTAAAAGAATAAGGCCGAAAAGGCTCACTCCATGGTACAATGATCAAACTCGAGCTATGAAACAAACTGTAAATGGCGTCAGACTAAACTTGAGGTTTTCCACTAAAGTCTGCATGTGCTGCTCATCTCTCGTCAATGATTGAAAATACCAAGAATAATCCTAGAGTACTATTCAGTACAATCTCTAAATTAACTAATAACCAAGCAGCTACTGAAGCCCAGATACCATCAGCATACAGCAGCATTGACTTCATGGACTTCTTTAATAATAAAATTGAATTGATTAGGCACAAAATTCAAAACGCGCAGCTAACAAGTGCAGTGTCCTATAAACCTAATCTAGATCTAGAGTGCAGTATAACCACTACAGAGACGCTGGAGTCTTTTACTTTACTCCAACAAACAGAGCTTGTCCAAATTATTTCATCTTCAAAAACAACAACTTGTGTACTAGATCCAATTCCTACAGGTTTACTTAAAGACATTTTGCCAGAAGTAACCAAGCCCTTTCTATCTATAATAAACTCTTCTCTCAGCCTCAGCTATATTCCAAAGTCTCTTAAATTAGCTGTAATTAAACCCCTAATTAAGAAACCTAATCTTGGTCCCTCTGAGTTATCAAACTATAGACCTATTTCAAATCTTCCCTCTTTATCAAAAATTTTTAGAGAAATCAATTATGTTCCCATCTGCATAGGAGTGATATACATGAAAGATTTCAGTCTGGCTTCAGGCCTCACCATAGTACTGAAACAGCGTTAGTGAAAATTGTAAATGATCTTTTATTATCCGCCGACAAAGGAAACATATCCCTACTGGTTCTACTTGATCTTAGTGCAGCTTTTGACACAGTAGACCATTCCATTCTTTTAGACAGGCTTGAAAAGCTAGTAGGAGTGACAGGTAAATCTCTTTCGTGGTTCAAATCTTACCTTAGTGATCGCTATGAGTTTGTTAATGTAAATGGTAAACCATCAGCTCTCACAAGAGTAAAGTATGTTGTTCCACAGGGCTCTGTCTTAGGACCCATATTATTTACCTTATAGATGCTACCACTAGGTACCATCATCAGTTTCCACTGCTACACCGGTGATACACAATTGTATATTTCAGCTAAACCAGAGGACAAAATTGAACTTAATAAGACAGAAGACTGTGTAAAAGACATTTTAGACTGGATGTCAAGTAACTTCCTCTTACTAAACTCTGGCAAAACAGAGGTTCTTCTACTTGGTCCAAAAACTGCTAGGAATAATCTGCCTACGTTAACTCTTAATTTTAGTAGTTTCTCAATTGCACCAGGCACATCTGTAAAAAGCCTTGGTGTCCCAATCTGGCCTTCGATGGGCATATTACCAATATTACCAGAATAGCTTTCCTCCACCTTCATAACATCACTAAATTAAGAAATGCACTGTTGCTACAGGATGCAGAAACGTTAGTTCACGCCTTTATTACGTCCAGGTTAGATTACTGAAACACTCTGCTTTCTGGTTGTTCCAGCCAAAATCTTAACAAGCTTCAGTTAGTCCAGAACGCTGCAGCTAGAGTTCTCACCAAAACAAGGAAATTTGACCACATTAGCCCAATTTTGTGTACCTTACAATTGTTGCCAGTTAAATTCCGTATTGAGTACAAAATTCTTCTGCTGACGTATAAAGCTTTGAATGGCCTTGCTCCTCAGTACCTCAGTGACCTTATTTCCTACTATCAAACGACACGCCCACTTAGATCACAAGGTGCGGGCTCATTATTAGTACCCAGAATAAATAAAGTTACGTCAGGGGGAAGAGCCTTTTTGTCACGTATTCGGCTAGCCAGCCTCAGAACTACGATTCCCAGAATCTTCCGCCTCATCACCTGACTCCGGGAAGATCATCAGCAGCCTATCACCGCTCTAGTTCCCCTGAATACTGATAATTTTCACCTGTATGTTTTCTCACATGACCTGTTTAGTTAGTATATTAGCCCAGGCTATAGTCAGGTTCAGTGCGAGGTATTGCTTTCCTAGTGAAACTACTTTCTGATTTGATCTCCTGTGTTTTTGACCTTGTGTTTTGACTCTGTTTCTCTTTTTCTCTGCTTTTTGGATTTGCCGTTTTGGTGCTGTCGCCTGGTTTTTTGGATATTCGGTTTTTGACTTTGGCCTGTGTTTTGGACTCTGATCTGCCTTGCCCTACTTTGTTATGATCGCCTTCTCTGTTTTGTTGCTGACTTTGGAACTGACCCATGCTTGTGTATTGACGACGATATCTCTGCCTGAATCCCCAAGTAAAGCTTCTTCACTGTTTTACATCCATGAGCGTTTGCTTACTGGTCACATGTTACACTTTTCAAACAACGCCCCCCAGCTTTGGAATAACCTACCAGTCAGTGTTCAGGACTCAAAACTTACCTCAGCTAAAAACTTACCTGTTTAGTCGAGCCTTTGGTTAATTAGTTTTCCTGTTAGAAAAAGGTGCAGATCTGGGGTTTCACGGACAGAGAGTCTAATGGTAATCTGGCAATGTTAGTGCAGCCGTCCCACTGCTCTGTCGTCCCACTGCTTCACTCAAGTTGTTGACGATGGAGCAGAGGGGCGCTGCCTTTTTTTAGCATTACACAACTTTACCATTTTGTTGACCACGTCCCAACTTTTTTGGAACGTGTTGTTGGCATCAAATTCAAAATGCACATATATTTTTCAAAAACAATGCAGTTTCTCGGTTTCAACATTTGATATATTGTCTTTGCACTTTGTTTTCAATTAAATATAGGAGTAAAACGATTTCCACACCATTGCATTTTGTTTTTATTTACATTTTGCGCAGCATCCCAACTTTTTTGTAAATGGGTTTTGTATTTTATTTTATTGTATTTTATTTGCTACATGTAAATGTTTGTCTGATACTGTGCACTGTGAGCTCCTGTAACCAAAACCAAATTTCTTGTATGTGCAAGCATACCTGGCCAATAAAGCTTGATTCTGATTCTGATTCATTGCACAATTCTTAGCATGTTGAGCGACAGCGGGATTTGTACTGTTCACTGCTAGAGGATATGACGCAAGCAGTCGGTCTTCACTTTTTTTGCTGGCATCATGCGGAGCAGGGGACTCCATTCACATTCTGTTCTTCTCCATTCACATTTTGTTCTAACACATCTGAACTACATAATCAAGAGAACGGAAACAGGAAAGTGTCCAAACTGAAGTCCTCAAGGAATGGACTGAGAGCCTCTGATAGAAAGGGGAAGTGTCTTGAACTTTGCAGATCCTTACATTATCTTACATTAAGTTGTAGGATTTGCAACCATGTGCTAAACAGTCACTTTGTACAATTACTTACAGTCCCCTGAAATGGGCAATTTTGTGATTAACCTCTTAACAATCCAGGTTTATTTCATACAAAGGTTTATTATTCAGTAACTACAGGGAATTCAATGCAAACTAATGGAGCTATACCTAGGTTATAGAAGATGTGTAGCAAAACTTGGCTTGTTAAGGGGTTAATATACAGTAATGTAAGGTGTAAAGGTCAGAGACCACCCTTCATTTATATAATTCAAATCCATGAAGCACAAGTTATAGAAATTAAGTTCAGAAAAAAAACAAATATTCAACAGAAAATTACACAGACATCTCAATAACTAAATGTAATATAAAAATATCAGTAATTATTGTGTACACTCTTTGCCTTTATTGCAGCTTCCATTCTATTTGGAAGACTTGGTTTAAGTATTTCAATGACATATGCAGGAATATTTTCCACACCTCCAAAGTTCAGTTTTAGAAGTTGGTTGTAGTGACGTACTCGAGACGATTAGAGGCGAGCCCAAGTCAAGACAGACACCTGGACACATTGAGTCTGAGTCAAGACCAAGACCAGATTAAGATTTTTTCAGAATATAAAATATATTACATTAAATAATATATAACCTAAAAATATTATTATTATTACAGTCTTAGTCCAACTTTGCATTGTAAGTCTTGGAAGTAAATGATGATGAGGTTCTTCTCTAAGACATATTCAGAGAGGATCTTTGAATTTTGGAACCAATGAACCTCAACAAACAAATAACCCCCAGTTAAGTCATCATGAAAATAATCAATTAGATCCTCAACAGATCTGATTTAATGAGTTTGTGCAGGAACTCCAGTGGCCTGACTTCGGCCCCACTGAACATCTTTGGGATGAACTGGACTGTCGATTCCAAACCAGGCCTCCTCGACCAACATCAGTGCCTGACCTCACAAATGCTCTTTTGACCGAAATGGGCACAAATTCCTACACATTCCGACACATTCAAACATCATGTGGAAAGCCTTCCTAGAAGAGCGGAGGCTGTTATGGCTGCAAAGGGGGGTGGTGGGGGGATTCCATATTAAACCCCAAGATTTTGGAATTGGATGTCAAACAAGCTTATTTAGCTGTAATGTCAGGAGTCCACATATTTTTGGCCATATAGTGTGTAAACAGTGTGTAAACATTTTTTCGTGGCAGTGTATCGTGTGATGCTCTAGTTAGGTTGTAAGCTTGCTGGTAACTTGCTATTGTAGTCATGCAACCATGGCAGGATAACATTTCTTTTTGGATGTAATGGATGAAAAGATATTACATAATAACACAACATGCATGGAGTAACCAGTTTAGATTTGAATGTCTAAATTTACTAGCTTGTAAAATTAAACAAAGTTGAAATATTAAATAGATAAAAAATAAAATACAAATAATTTGACTTTACATTAAGCTGTATTAGAAACATGTAGTGCATTGTTGACATGGCTTCAGGCTTAAAGCGGTGAGAGGGGAGCATGGATAGGGGAGAGGGGCATGGAGAGAGATAATCATACAATTTGATAACGTGATTTACAGCATGGTCAGAACATTTTTCATTTTCCAAAAAAAAACCCATAAAATAAATAAATAAAAAGATGCTACACAACTCCACAGTTAATAAACTGACATTGTAGTGCTGCACAGATCTCATGTAATGTACTCTGAGCTAAAAACCATGTGTTAAAGTGTATTAATTTATACACTGAAAAGGCATTCCTTTCTCCATTATTTCTTATGTAACTGTCTACTTGTGCAGTCATACAGCGAGAGATAATTGTTAGCTCAGGTGCCACGTCAAGTTATTGCAGGCTTTGACATTTTGGCTTCGGGCCACCACATGATGACATGAGTATCTACAGAAGGTTCAGGTCAGTTTCATTTAATGAAATGACCCAAATTGTGCAAAATATTTTACATTATTAGACAACCTGAGTTTTTTAGTGACAAACTGCAATGTTAGCACTTTGCATTAAAGATCATTGCGTAAATGTAAATATTAAAAACAGAAGGTAGAAGAAAGTATAAAAATTAAGGCAATTTTGCTGAAGAATTCGCCAGCCTATAAACCTTTCACTCAAGGCGGTTACTAACATTAGTAGATTATTTTGAAGTGGGAGTAGTTTTGCAGGCATTCATATAGATTCCATCTCTGTTAAAAAAAGAAGAGATCAACACATAAATCACTTTAAGCGTTCATGCTTACAGAGGCATGTTTATCAAATTTCATTTATAAAGAAAAAAGGAATGAAACTTGTCAGTCAGTTATATGAGGAAAGTTATGGTAGACATTGTCAGTGTTATCAGAACTCAGAAAAGACTAGGCATCCCAATTGGAAAAAAATTATCCATATATGTATATATATATATACGCATATATATATGATATAATACATATTAAATATATATATATATACGCAATATTGTATGTGATAAATACATTTGAAATATGTATTTGTATGAATGTATGAAAATTATTTTTTCCAAAAAATGTATTTGTCTTTTTTGGTACTATATTTTTCAATTGTTTGTTGTTTTTACAAAAGGTTACATAACTAAATATATATGAACTGAATGAATGTTACAGACTTTGCATTAACCATGGATGTATGCAGTAAGACAATGTTCACACAAAATGTATTTCAAATAAACAATATATCAAATCATAACTGCATTTTCACAGTGTATCAATACCTACAACACTTGCTTTTGCAATGTTAAATGTAAATTTGCTAACTTAAAATGGAATTCAAATTCATTTGAAAAGTTGTTTCAAACAGTGCATCACGTATTTTGGCTATTTTCATACATTTTCCAAATGTATATTTGGTTAATATGGCAATATATTCTTTATGTAAAGGTTCTATATATTTTATAAAGGTTCTTCACACTTCACACAAAAAAAGTTCTTTAAAGATTCATGCATTGAAGTGTTCTTTAGTAAACCCGAAAGAGTTCTTTTATAGATGTGCCCCAAAAAACCTTTTGGAACTTTTAAGAATGTTCCAGTGAAAAAGAGCTTCTTCCCTATAATAACTGAGCTGTATTTGAACATTTTCATAATTCACTGACTGCGTAAAGGATCAAATGATATGTGTCTAGTTCCTCACCTCTCCTGCAGCAGTGTGCCAAGACAAAGAGGTTGACAATAAGAACAATTCCCAGTACGGCCCCCAGCCCTCCAAGCATGGCTAGATACATGTCATCTTGACACACACACGTAGATTGCGTAGATTCCTGGTGACTGTTGTATATTGACTGTGCTTCTGGCCCATTCTCTCCATCTATCTGGCAGGTATAGTTGGTATTGGGGGACACAGGAAGAGAATATGACGCCAGGAAGCCAGTCTGGAAAAATAACTGGGAGGTGGTGATGTTTTCCGGCTGGGTCCAGTTTACAGTTGGTAGAGGCTCTCCAGAAACTTCACATGTAACCCAGTGCTCCCCCGTCACAGTGGTCTGAATATAAATACGCCGCAATTTCTGGGGCTCTGTGTGAGATGGACAGATTTTTATTAGTTGTGTATTTAAAAAAACAGAAATGCAAATAAAACCAGAAAATAGTGATTTATAAATGTTCTGTTTATAATTTTTTGATTCATTAATTACAAAAGAACAACAATTGTGAATATATATTCATTCTGAAATTCTGAGAAAGTTGGGACAGGGGCAATTTAAGACTGGTCAGAGAGTAAACTGGCCTTCCTGCAGTCCAGACCTATCTCCCTTTGAAAATGTGTGCAAAATACAACAATAGTTTGTTTACATGCAGCCTGACAATCCATTAATAATCTGAGTATCAGCTCAATCGGAATAGAATACATCCTTATATATATGATACGATTGGATCCGATTACTTGTAGTGTGCATGTAAACGGAGATTTTCATCAGATTGTTGAGTAGAGTGTGCATGTAAACTCCTCAGTCGTAGGCCCAATCGCATTGCTAATTTTACTCCTACATCTTCTTTTCGAGTGTCAGGGGGCAGTGGTTAAAATCTTCCTGAAATGGGTCCCTCAAATAAAAAAGAACATCACTTCATTAACAGGCTACTACCGATGCTCTGTAGGCATCCCTGCCAGTCTGTGTTTTTTAAAAATGTATGTATGTGTTTTGGAATAGGTTATGTAACATCAACACATACAGTATATTTTGTATTTGTATTTGCATATATTTACAATAAGCAAAAAAAGTTCATACACTGAAGAAAAGGTTAAATCATGTAAATTACTAAATAATTAACAACTATCATAACTGTAAGGTAAGTTATCAAATATGATAACATGTTTTTGTACTGTTTTCACTTGATACTGGTCCAACATAATTTATTTTATTTATTTATTTTACATAATCACTGCTTTCTCTTTTCATAAACATTTCACTTACAGCTTTTTGGAATTTGGTTTGTATTTGGGTGGGATTAGTTTACGGGTAGGTGCGCTTATCTAATTATTCAATGAGTATCTCTGACTATTTTTTGTCCCATCCATGTGAAAAGCTTCTGTAAAGACTACATGTAGGAAAGGACTTTACACGCATTTACTTGTAAATCAAGTCAAAAAATTCTGGATTATCTCAAGTGCACAATGCTGATTAACATCCAGTCGATGTTCAAAAGGACTTGATAGGGAGCTCCGCTTCTGCCAGTTTAACTAAGCTCAATGCACCAATGTTCAGTAGGACACGCTGGACTTAAACAGCAGACGAAGTTTATGCTTCAAACTTTAAGACTTAAAAATGGTTCGGACCCAAATACAGACAGAAAATTTTTTTATCCGAGCCTGACCTGATCTGAACAACATCATCATGTTTTGAGTCCGAAACTGACCCAAGTACAACAAAAATTCTTTCTGAAACTGAGCTGAACTGGCTCATCTTTACCTAATTCATGTGTTTTTTTCCAATGCACGTGCGCCATCATTCAGCATTACCATGGCAACAGCCCCCGAACAGAAGTTAAAGCCTGTAAACGCTGGAAAAGCAACACATCACACTTTTTTACCATCGTCTTGCTCTAATAATGAACAGCTTAGAGCTGATCAGAGTTAATGACCTTCATAGCAAAGGTTCATTCTGCTCCTTAGTTTGTTTGCTGATGACACACCTGATTCATATTCCATATGAATATGCTTTAAAAGGCTGGTCCTGCAGCACATCAAAGCCAGCACATCAAAGCCAGCCTCCCATCTCACAACAGTTCGCCTACAGGGTAAAGAGGTCCACAGAGAGACAGCATCGCCATCACTCTACACACAGCACTGACCAACCTTGAACACCAGGGGAGCTATGAGAGGATGCTTTTCATAGACTTTAGCTCTGTCTTTAATACACTCATCCTGGGCAGACTGGTCACTAAACTCACTGACATAGGACTTTCCCAGCCCATCAGCAACTGGATCAAAGACTTCCTTTCCAACCGCACCTAGACTGTTAGACTTGGCCCCCACCTCTCCACCACCATCACGCTCAGGACTAGTGTGCCACAGAGCTGTGTGTTCAGCCCTCTTCTCAACGGCCTCTACACTAATGACTGTGCCCTCACTCATCCAACCAGCACTATAATCAAATTCACAGACAACACAACCGTGATTGGACGTATCTCTGGAGGAGACGAGATGCCTACAGAGATGAAGTACAAGGACTGGCTCTGTGGTGTTCAGAGAACAATCTCACCCTGAACTCCTCCAAAACTAAAGAACTCATCATAGACCTCAGAAAGAACTTCACAAAACCAGACCCATTATACATCATTGGGGACTGTGTGGAAAGAGTACATGATTTCAGGTACCTGGGCGCACACAGTGCTGAAGATCTCTCCTAGACCACCAACACTATGGCATTTATTGAAAAAGCACAGCAGTGACTCTACTTTCTAAGAATCCTCAGAAAAAACAACCTGCAAGATAAGCTTCTGGTGTCTTACTACCGCTGCTCCATTGAAAGCGCGCTTACATATGGCATCTCCACATGGTACACCAGCAGCTCAGCAGCGGACAGGAGAGTCCTTCAGAGAGTCATCATCACAGCCCAGAGGATCATAAGGTGCTCACTGCCCTCCTTTATTCCTAGTTTAATCTTTTATTGTTTAGGATTGCTACCCAGTTTCGTTGTACCATGTGCAATGACAGTAAAGAATCTTGAATCTTGAATCATTCATGTGACATTACTGAGTAGGATGTGCGCATGTGGGTCATTTCAGGACGCCGGTTTGTTCAGATTTGAGTCACTTACCTAAACGAGTGTGAACCATTGTCTCAGAGAGATCAGATTGGAGGAAAAATCAGATTTGAGCGATGAGGCTTGTAATGTGAACTTAGCCTAAGTCTGCGTATGGAACATGTTACACAGAATGTATTACACATATAATATTAAAAACGCTTTTGGCCACACAAATCAAACATTCTTTTAGCTGTACTACAGCATTTCATCGTCAACTGATTTACTGTTTATGTCCTGTTTCCTGGGTGTAGTGGACCTCAGCACTTAATGGGTGACTCCACCATGCCAGTTAAAAAAAAAATATGCTAGGTAGAATTTTTATAATTTTATAATTCAGGTTAGTTTAAAAATTAGGCTTTACAGTTGATTGTGTATTTCCTGTAGTTTCAAAAATCTGAAAAAATGATTTATTATATGTTAAAATGTAAATTATTAAAATGAATAATACAAAATTTAATAATAATAAAATTGTTAAAATTATAATAGTACTACTAATACTACAACCTTAAAATGGTTCTTCAATGTTATCTAGTAAAGATAATAGTTATATATAGAACCGTGAACACTCAATGAACCCCTTGATTCCATCATTTATTTTTTTGCATGGTTAAATGGTCCTGACAGGAGTGTGCTATATTACTACTACTAAAAATTATATAAAATATTTTATATATATAAATATAAAAATATTGTTATACTAATAATAGACAGTAATATATGCATACGTTTTTCTGTCACATTATTAATACAGAAGTCCCGTGGAGGTCCTGACCTAACAGAGTATGCAAAGAAACATATGGAATACAGACTATAAGTGTTAAGTGCATCTCTAGCTGATAAAATGAACAACGAGTGTAGAAACAAGGTGGTTTTAATGTTATGGCTGAGGTGGTTTTAATGTTATGGCTGATTGGTGTACATCGTTTATCAAGACTCAAAGAACCAAAATGTATCAGAATTTGAATAGGCAGTTGACCTGTTAGCCTACACTTCATCAGTTAGTTCCTACATTAGATGAGAGCTAGTTTAGGTATTTTAGAATTGGACAAATCACACAACTGTGTTCACACATATGAATTGAGGTTTATCTTAAGCAGATATCAATGTCTAAGAAACATACTGGAGTAAGGCCAGAAAAAGGGGTGGCGATGTAGTCAGATTATGGGTTGCGATGTAGTCAGAGTTGTGTTGTACTGGAATAAGTGTAATGGCGTTACTTAAACAGCATACAAAAAGGTAACTGCTACAGTTACAGGTTTGGCATCAAACTCTTTTATTCTTCTGTTTTCAACATGAAATTCAGTTTACCCAGCAGTGTAACATCATTTACATAATTATCTTCATGTTAATGCTGAAGTGCACCTACAGTAACGTAAGCTAACTGTAAAGCGTAGGATTAAATGAAACATTTGTAGAACTGAAAGGCCAAAACGAAGTCCAGATCGGTGAAGTTTCATTTTCGCCCACATGATTTCTTTCTTCAGTAGTTTCTGAAGGATGGGTGCAAAAACATTAGCATGTGTAACTTAACATCACTTCCCTGGTAGTCAAAGAAAACATTTAAAAGTTTCTCTTGGCTTCTGGTGGTCTCCAATAGTCAGTAATGGTATTTGTGTTTTCTTGATGGGTTGATTTCACACTGTAAAGGATTCTAATGGTTTAACAGGTGCTCTGAGACTGGTTCCAGATGCATTTGATGGTTTCCTAATGGGATCTAAAGGGGTCCTACAGGAAATTAGTGGTCACTAATGGTAACTATGAAGCCAGTTCCAATTAGAAAGCAAAACCATCAGGTTTTAATCCTAATTGTCTAATGGCCACTTAGTTTTGTGTGAAATGCTTTTTAAAACTGGTCGGACATGCCGATTTTGGTGGACTGCCACTGAGAGCTAAAGGACCGTCAACAAAAGGCATCTCTTGGGCTGAATCTCAAATGTCTCCCTACTCCCTAAGCAGTGCACTATATGGTCATGAAACAATGGCTTTTACTCGCAATTAGTTTATTAGTCTAGAGAAAGCCATGTACATTCAACGACTCCTTATAGAACATCTACAGGAGGAATTGGGTGTAGACACCATAGTTTCATGGCTTCTCAGTGTACTTTGTTTGTGATCTGTCGCCTTTGCACTGCTCAGCGAGTATGCCGCTCTGAACTCACACAACTTTCACTATAAAACACTGTCATCTTTATGTTTGAGATATTTCTATACATTGCTCCACTAAGTTCTTCTCTAAGCTAAATGTGAGTTCAGTGACTGTGTGAAATAGCTGTTTATTCCTCTACCTTCTCTACTGTGGTTCTACATTACATACTTATTATAAAAATACCAGATTTTTTTTTGTAGTTTTTTTTTTTTTACACAGGGCACTCTTCAAATAGAGGCATAAAGCACAGACAGTTACGCCACCTATATTGAATGCTTTCACAAAACAGTGCAGTTTTCCTGTTTGGCTTGTGTTAAAGGAGAATTTGCTTGATTTTTCAAATTTCTGCAGAAGTACATCATTAAGATGGAAATCAAATAATTTAGCCTGGTTTGATATGAAATGATCCATTCAAGATAAACTTTCCGATTCAGAATGGTTCACAGCGGAGGTGATAGGAATCAGACGTCTGAAGAATTTGATGTCTTTAAAAGCTACATCACAGAAAGTTTATTCATAAATTGTTATGAATACGCTGCCTGATGCTGGAGACACATTTTTTTATAATAGTTTTGAGATACCTTTTTTAAAAACTCATTTATGGTGGAGAGAAACATGCAGGTTATTGTAGGGCAAAAGTGTGTCAGAAGAAAAGTTATTTTTTCCAGATTTAACACTACTTTACCATCATCAACAATACACAGAAAAACTCAGGAGTAGGTTCACTGGTGGTTTTGGATAGTAAATAAAATGTCTATATTTGTGTTGTAGACATGACTCCTGGTTCCCATCACCACCACCGTAAAAATATCTGAGTTGGTAAGTTCCTCTACAATTAAGTATTTCACATCAAACCACTCTGAATCAATGTGTTCACATCTCAACCACTGAATTATGCAGAAATCACTGGAATTTTTGACTTTGAAAAGACAAATAATCTTAAAGTAATGGAAAGTAATCAGATCGCATTACTTGCTTGCAATACTTACTGAATTAGAATAATCCATTGGATTACATAATGTTACATTTATCTATTAACAGGTTATCACTAATCTGTATTGCAATACATTTTAAATAAAGTAACCATTTGAAGCCTGAGAGTCGTGTAATGGGGAAGATGCACGGCAGCATCTTTAAAAAAAAAAAATCACCTCACCTTTCACTTTCAGAATAATTCCATTTGATGTAAACCAGTTCACTTTTTCTTCCAGTTCGATGCGACAGAAGTACACTCCAACATCACTGTGTGTGACATTACTTATCCGCAGTGCTATGTTTCGTTCTGTAAGATTTTCCCCAAAAGAATAGCGGCCAGTTGATTCTGTGCAGTTCCCGGACAAGTCAGCGTTCCTTCCGCATCGATAGAGGAGAGGGCCACTGTAAGCCTGGTCCTTCCACCAAATGACATTTGCACTATTAATTGGTTGATCTGGAGTAACCTTAAAATTGCAAGGAATTGTGACATTTTTCCTCAAGCTGCCGGTGACGGAAGCTGGGTTATCCATTTGTATTGCATCATTGACACCTAAAAAGGAGGGAAACAAATGTAAATGGAGACGTTTATGCTGTCTCCAAATCTGCTATTGCGCTTGAATAAATACTCATTGTGAGGAATTCTACTAGTACTTTTCTAGCACTTACTGATAACACTGCTAAATAACTTACCAACCAAACAATAAATGATGAAAAACAGAACACATGTAAATATCATCTTGGAATGATGAAGCGTCTTCATCGCAATGAACCTGCACAAAGACTGTGGAAAGCAAAAGTCAGATCAGACCACCGATATGCACAGGCAGGGCTTCCTGTTTCTCCCCTGGTGGGTCAAGCGAAACCTATTCATGTAGCAACTTGCTCAAAATCAGGCTAAAACTTAAATATGAAAGAGTATACTCTAGAATATGAATAGCTACTTACTTGTAACTGAAAAATCATACTTTACACACATGAGCTTTACTCTTTTTGACAATGAGCCACACGTTTGTGTAAAAGACTGCATAACAGCATACTAGTAAGGGCAAAATGGCTGAAAGGAGTATAAAATGAAAGCCTGGACCCACTTGAAGATAATGAGCTGGAAAAAGGAAAGTCTTTAAGGGACCATCACAGAAAGAGTTTGTTAACTCGCTTAACCATGAATTTAGCTAAAACACCAGTTTGTGAACTTGGTTAACCATGGATCTAGCTAAAACACTATCCTGGATAACCTACAATTCAACTAATATGTCATTCTGATTGTTAAGTTTGCAGTGATGTTAAGGGATATGTGAGGTATGGCCCAGTGTGAAATTGTTGTGACAAATACTGATACTGACTTTAATGGGCTAAAAATTCTGAAATACCAATAATGTTAGCTGAAATAGTATGCAAAAGTTTGGGAGCCCCTACATTGTAAAAAATGATTAAATGTTTTAAACTTAAGATGGTTGCCTTAAATCTTTGGGTTCAAAGAGCTTCTAATCATAAGTTAAAAGAACAACAACATTCTGTTCCATTTTACATTCTGTTCACTCATCACTCAAAGTTCTGACTTAAAATGTATTTGAATCCATTTATTTTAATCCATTCATGGCGAAAGAGAACATGAAGGGTGTTGTAAGGCAAAACAATCCCCAAGGAAATCTTATTTTTTTCAGATTTAGTATTCTACCATTATCAGCTTTATATTTAAAAAGTCAGAAGACGTGTGCAGCTTTACTTGTGGTCTGGGGTAGTAAATGAAATTGTTATATTTGTGTTGTAGACATGGCAACCCCTACGAGAGCATTTTAGGGCCACTGTAAATAAAAAAAAAAAATAGTTGACTTCGAGTCAAACTCTATATTTCATTGAAAATAGTACAAAGACAGCAACTCACAGCAACAACTTACTTGGTTGAAACTAAGAAATTTTATTGTTTCTTGAAAAATATATGCCCATTTTAAATTTGATGCCAACAACAGGTTCCAGAAAAGTTGGGATGGGGCAACAAAAGGCTAGTAAAGTTGTGTAATGTTAAAAAAAACACCTGTAGGTTAATTGGCAACAGGTCAATAACATGATTGGGTATAAAAAAAAACATCCCAGAGAGGCTGAGTCTTTCAGAAGTAAAGATGAGGAGGGGTTCACCACTCTGTGAAAGACTGCACGATCAAATAGTGCTCATAATATTACAACTTTATTCTTGAAATATTACGAATTTATTCTCGAAGTCTACTATTTTTATTAAAAGTGGCCCTTAAATGCTGTCGTAGCACTGTTCCTGTTTTTATTGTTATTCTACTTAAAAAAACATGGTGTTTATTTTTTCATTTTGCAAAAGAATTAAAATGCCTGCTAAAAATATTTATTTTGTTAAGGTTTATGATACAATTTTGGGATAGCAATAATTTAAAACAAGTGTGCTAGTTTTCTATATCAGTTGCCCCATTTAGCTTAGCCTACCATGGCAGACAGCAGCTTAAGGGTATGATGATACATGGTGCGACCACATCACTCCAGCACCAGTTTCGCGTAACAGCACAACCTTGAGTAAATTATTGTCATCATACCACAGTTTTATCACTGATAGGCCTATTTATTATTAGATTAACAGACAAATAGTGCCAAAAATGTATTAACATGAAAGCATATTTACTATTATTTGGTAAATAATTAAAACCCCTAATTACACACAGATCTATTTCTGTGCACCGAGGAAGTACATTTGTTTTAAAAAAAAATCTGTAATATTGATTAAAATGGAACTTGAGTGAAATAGGCTACTCACCCATATCAAGTTAACCAGCGGCACTGAGACCGAGACCTAGCATAGCCTCTTTCTCCTCTGTATTTTCTTCTTCTGAACCAGCAGAGCAGTTTTTGGACAGCCTACAGTCGAGTGGTTTTGCCGTACAGTCCTCTGCTCCTAATAAGACGCTGGCAGCTCTGGGCTGCTGTGGAATGCGCTGTGATGTTACTGCAGCCCGAGACTCGGTAACTCCCTCAAAAAACTGCTTCCTGCCTTCAGCACGGAGTTTAACCCTCTGTAGACCAGCCTGCAGATCCTCTCAGTCCTCACTGGGCACTGAGGGTAGCAGACAGCTGAGCAGGAGAGACTGATCTCTCTCTTACAGCAACCAGCATAGGAACTGAAGTCTGTTATACCACTTTTTTCTTAGGTGCTCTTTTTTCTTTTGGGGGATTATTTTGGTTTAATTTGTACTGGAAAAGAATAAGAACCCAGACCCAGTTCACCTTAAAGGAAAATTAGGAGGGATATAGAACAGACCAGCGGGACCACATTGAACACATTTCTGATTTTTTTTATTTTAATTCTACCTCCTAGTGTCAAAGTTCTGTAATGTTACATATATATTACATACATTTGCATTGTATTTGCATACATTGCATTTATGGTAAATATATGCTGTGTTTAAAAATAAATTTCTTTGAGGTTTTTTTTTTTGGCTTATAATACAGATTTGCCTTTTTATTTGCATTCCCACAACACTGCTAGTTAAGCCTAACAACAATTGTTTTTCAGATTTGTTTTACAATACATAAATGTGTAAAATGTACAAAATAAATAAGACTACCTCATATTGGAGGTATTCACAACAAGCAACTGTAGCTGCAGAAAACTTGAAATAGACTCATGTAGTGAATTTTAGAGAACGCATTCATAGTGCAAAAAATGTCCAGAATTAAGTAATTGGTGAGAAACGCTGAAGAGACATAAAACCTTTGCATTATCATGTTCAAACCATCATTATTAGTCTTTTTATCTAGTAATCTGGCCTGAGCCAAATGGTAATGCTTGAAACAATTCCTTTCCTCAATAAAGCAGATTCACAGAGGGTGCGGTAGTTGCACTGACTTTGCAGACTTTGCAGCTGCCACACTCGTCACATTTCAGAGGTCAGTGTGCAACCTGGTCAGTGCATCATCTGGAACTCCAACATGAATTCCCCTGGGTGGTGGTGGAGGTGTTGGGTTTCAAACCTTCGTTATCAGTGCTTACATCTGGTTAGCAGTTTCTGCAGTTCAGCCTAAGCTGAATGGTAATGTTTGAAACAATGCCTTTCCTCCATGTAGCAAAGATGCACATCACATTTCTCACAGAGGGCATTGGTTGCACTGACTTCACAACACCCATACTTGTCACATTTCACAGGCCAGTGTGCAACCTGATTGATGCGACCATCATCTGGAACTCCAGCACGAACTCTCTTAGGTTGTGGTGGTGCTGGAGGTATGGTGTTAAGGGATGGGCGACCTCTTTATGACTGCACAAGAATCAGGCTAGTGGCAACCACTGCTTCCTTTGTTTCAGTGGCTTTTGGATACCAAGTAGTCCACAGTAATGGCGGTAGATCAACCATGCATTACAAGGCCTAACGTGATGGTTTGTCAGAACAGGTAGAGGGACCGCCTCCATGACCTCATGTGGTACTTGTACCTTGCGACATATGCATCAAAGAGGTCTATTCTGAACAGAACCATTTCTGGTGTTATGAATTTTCTGAAGTACTCCAGTGGAGTATGAAGTACAGTATGGAGTCTTTCTGTCTGGAGATGTGACTCTGTCCTTTGAATGTGCATTCGGCGATTTCAAAAGGTTTCTTTCTCCAAGCAAATTCTTTTTTTCCTTGGACGGTCCTATTTTGCTGTCTGGGGTTCATGTTTGGTTGAGGTACATCATCTAAATCTTCAGATTCACTACTGTCAATCATTAGACCCACTTGACTCATCACTCTCCATGTCTTTGTTGCTGGAAGTGTAATCAGGGTCTTCAGGTTCTTCATCGGAGCTATCTCCACATTCCTAAAACTCCCTGTCATCTCCAGTGAAGATCTTAAGTGCATCCTGAAGACTGTATCAGTTATTGGTTTTTATGTTACAAGTAAATAATACATATATATAATGAGCAGATAATTAGTGTTTTTCTTATTGTCACAGAGGTCACATGGCATCTTCTGTAACCATTTTAAGATTAAAACCCAGATGTCACATATGTCACAACACAATTTCATAACTTGTATTTCATTATTTTATTCTAGAAATGGGGTCAGTATGGGTTATAAAGAACATAGGACATGTTATTAAAGCATTAAAATTGTTAAATATGTTGGAAAATACCTGTAGAAACAAATAACACCCAATTTAAAAGTAGCTGGTTTGGTCTCATGCACTAACCAAGCACACCGCCATTTTGTTAATGAGGCCACATGAACACAAATTGTCATATGACTGCATCCAGGAAGTTCAGTATATGTCACTTAGGGACAAAATGAGGATAAAGTGAAGGATACAGCTTTATAAGTAACTTTTTCAGACCTTTTAAAGTGTTTGCGACACATATCACCATGGGTCCTTTTGTACTTTTGTGGTTATTTTTGAATGAAACAATGTTATTGAAATGTGTCTCACATGACAAAAATAAATAAATAAATACATACATACATACATACATACATACATACATACATAGACTAATAATAAAAACTTATTATACGTGCCCATTTTTTCCCCAAATGGGAAAAGGAAAAATGCTGAAGCTTGAAAGTGACAGCAAAGCAGTTCAGCTTAGAACTTAATAAAATTGAACCCTAAAAAGAAATTGACTAAATGTATATCAGCAATCATAACACATTTTCCTACTATATACGATGTACACAATGTATGTGGACACCAGACCATCACACCTATATGAGCCTGTTTGACATCCCATTCCATAAAAAAACAGCCCTAGACCATTAACCCTCCTCCACCAAACTTAGCTGTTAGCACTATGCATTCTAGTAAGGTGTGCACTCTTGGCATCCACCAAACCCAGGTTCATCCATCAGACTGCCAGACAGTGATTTACAATTCCTGAGAACATGTTTTCACTGCTCCACTGTCCAGTGGTGGCTGCCATACACCAGTCTAGCTGGCGCTTGGCATTGCACATAGCAAACTTAGGCTTGTGTGCAGCTGCTTAGCAACAGAAACCCATTTTATGAAGCTTCTGACATACAGTTTGTAATGAGTGACCCACTCACAGGGAAGTGCAAACCCAGGATTCCCTTGAATTTCCCTAACTTGAACCGAGTGTGTCACCAGCTAGGTTTTTATGATCAGTCCAGACCAAGACTGATGATTGGCTCCCTCCAGCCAGTGCCTCCATTCTTAAAGGGCTAACTTAACTGCCAGAAGCTCCCTGTCCCTCACATCGTAATTGTGTTCAGCAGGAGTGAGGCGATGACAAAAGAAAGCACAGAGGTGTAATTTTCCTTTTAGGGCCAGACAGCTGGGAGAGAACAGCACCTACACCAGTATCTGAGGCACCGACCTCAACCAGAAAGGGGAGTTCAGGACCTGGGAGCTGCAGGACGAGGCCTGAGGACAACTGACATTTAACCTCATCAAATGCTTTCTGGGCTTCTGGTATCCACTGAAATGGCCTATTTGGTGAGGGCAGTTAAAGGTGCAGCCACCATGCTAAAATTCCTGATGAACCGCCTAAAGAAATTAGCAAAGCCCAAAAAGCGCTGCACAAGGCGCGGGGCGAGACCATTCTCCAACCACCTTGGTCTTGGCCAGGTCCATACTCAGTCTACCTTGGGAGACAACGAAGACCAAGAAAGTCACCAATTGTGCATGAAAAAAGACATAACATAACATAAAGATGGTTTTTCTAAGAGCAGCTGGAGAATTCTTCTCACATGCTCAATGTGCTGATCTACTGTACGGCTGAAGATGAATATATCATCTAAGTAGACGAATGCGTAATGGACGAGGGCTTCCCTGAGGACTTCAGTGATGTAATGCTGGAAGATGGCTGGAGCATTCATCAATCCAAATGGCATTATAAAGTACTCATAATGCCAAGACTGAGTGATGAAAGCTGTCTTCCATTCATCACCCTGTGTAATCCAGATAAGGTTGTAGGCACAGCGCAGGTCCAGCTTGGTAAACATGGACGCCTGCTGCAGTGCCTTAAAGGTGGTACTCATAAGGGGTAGGGGTAATTGATCCATGACAGTGATTTTGTTAAGTCCCCGAAAGTCAATACAAGGCCGAAGACCCCCATCCTTTTTCCCCACAAAAAAGAACCCTGCCCCAGCTGGTGAGGTAGAAGGCCATATGAAGCCTAAGGCCAATACCTCCTGAATATAGTCCTCCATGGCCTTCTTCTCTGGGCTGGACAGGGAGAACAGACAGCCTCAGAGATGGCTAGTCCCAGGAAGGAGATCAATGGCACAGTCATACGGTCTGTGAGGTGGCAGGAGTTGGGCTTTTTGTTTACTAAAGACCTCCTGAAGGTCCCAATATTCAGTGGGGACACAAGATAAATCGGGACCCCCAGTTGCCAGAGAGGTCTTGGCTCTAGGGTTGGAGGGTTTAAGAGACAGCCCCTGGCACTGGGGTCCCCAGGCTGCCACAGATAGAGATAACCAGTCGAAACAGGGTTTGTAGCATTGCACCCAGGGGAACCCCAGCACTAGCTGCAGTTCGGAGGCACTGATAAGGAACGAAGAAATTTGTTCACAGTGCTGCCCAATCTGTAGCGTGATGGGTTGCATCTGCTGGGAGACTACCCCTGGTTCTAAGGACCACCCATCGATAGCAGAGACAGGCATGGGATGGTTCAATGAAACCAGGGGTAGGCCTAGAGTTCGAGCAAGGGCTGCATCAATGAAATTGCCCGAAGCGCCTGAGTCCACAAAAGCTCTGAGATGTTCTTCCCGCTGGTGTCCCCAGGAGATGGAGATATTCAGGAACACCCCAGAGCCTAGAGGAGGAGACACCAGGTCTGTCAAGGGCCTCCCTTTCTGTGGCAGACCTTGGTTTTTCCCTGAAGCGTGGGGCATGAGGCATGCAGGTGACCAGAGTGACCACAATATAAACATCTGCCTTCCTTCTTACGTGCCTCCAGCTCTCCAATACTTAATTTGGTGTGTCCTAGCTGCATGGGTTCAACTTCTGTCAGGTCTGAAAGGTGTGCTGA